CCTCCTTGCACTTTCTCTGGATTTCAAGGCTCAAGGTCATCTTGGAAGTATTTTCTGAGAACAAAGGGCCAAGTGTGGCTTCTTTATTTCTCCAACTAGTTTATTAGCTAGGACTATATAACTCTTCGATTGTGAATGTACGGTACTTGCTTTAATAAAAATAAGCTTTCTTGTTTTATACTAAGTCTCAAACTGTATACTTTTCAACTAAAGGTGTACCCCAAGCAAGGATTCATTAACTAAAGCTAACTTCTGCTGTTGTATGCAAACTCTGTTGTTGTTTAGTCGTTTAGTCATGTCCAACTCTTTGTGACCCCATGGAGCAGAGCATGCCAGGCACTCCTGCCTCCCGCAGTTTGGTCAAACTCATGTTGGTAGCTTCAAGAACACTGTCCAACCATCTCGTTCTCTGTCATTCCCTTCTCCTTGTGCCCTCAATCCTTCCCAGCATCAAGGTCTTTTCCAGGGAGTCTTCAGCTTCAGGATCTGTCCTTCCAGTGAGCACTCAGGGCTGATTTCCTTCAGAATGGATCGGTTTGATCTTCTTGCAGCCCATGGGACTCTCAAGAGTCTCCTCCAGCACCAGAATTCAAAAGCATCAATTCTTCTGCGATCAGCCTTCTTGATGGTCCAGCTCTCACTTCCATACATCACTACTGGGAAAACCATAGCTTTAACTATACGGACCTTTGTCGGCAAGGTGATACAAACTCTATATACTAACAAATTATTGTTCAAGCATCATTTCTGAGACTATTTTGCATGATTGTTAGAAAAATTGAATGTTTTAATTTTGTAAGGGTTTTCCGCCTTACAAAACAAGAAAGAGTTACGAGTTATGAGGATCATTCTGACCTTTGTATTTCCTGGTCTTGCAGCATTTAGCATTAGTATTTTTAATGCTACATTAATTAATGTTTCCATAATTATACTTCTGTGTGTTTTGCAAAGGCAATGTGTTGTCAATGTTCATATTACTGTAAACAAAAATTACAAAACATTACATTCATTACCCATTGCAAGGTTATGATGTCACAGGTGACAGTTAATTTAAGGTTTGCCGAACACTGAATTTCCTGAATTTGGAACATTTTGAATTTATAGCCATTTTAAGTTTAGCTGACCAATTACTAGGCATGGAAAAGTAGGCATTTAGACTGGCTGCAGGTTTAACTGTTTTGTAAACATTGATTAAAAAAATTATTGAAGGCAACTTTTTGTTGAAGTTCAGCAAACTGTGTATTGGGCACCAAATGCAAAATTAATGTCTTACCATAGCTTTTGTCTGACAGCAGGAATGCTTAGTCTGTGGCTTCTGTTGTTGGATTCCAACGCCAATTAGCCTAGCTAACATGGCCAATGGTCAAACATTCTGAGAGTTGCAGTCCAATATCTGGAGGACCTCAGCTTTCCCATTCCTGTCTTATAAGTGATGAACATGAGTATAATTAATGCTGATCATATAGGAGACACCCTGGGCAAGACACTAGACAGATATATATAGGGAGGGAGGAAAGGAAGACACAATAGCTCAGGGATGGGCAACCTATGTCCCTCCAAATGTTTTGTTAGACCACAACTCCCATCATCCCCAACCATTGGCAATGAAGGCTGTTGGTTATGGGTGTTGGAGAGCCGGAGGTTCCTAATTCCTGCCATAGCTAAGTTGTAGTGCACATGGGAAATCCCGGGTTCCATTGCTGATGTAATCAATTAAAACAGAGGTGAGCAACTTGCAGTCCTTGGCCTAATTTCATGCAGGGGGAGGGGGCGCAGACCCAGAAGGAAATGGAGGGAGGAGTTGAAATGGATGCAGCAATGGAAGGAGGGGGAATGTCTTCTGTAAGGGAGGAGAGAGAAGGGGATGTCCGAAGGAAAGGATGGCCCTTTCTATTATTGGCTGTAATGTCACTTATAATTGGCTTTGACCTCACCCTGTACCAGTACCAGCACACACACACACACAAAATTACCCCACAAGGAAAGTGGTCCTAGACCAGGGTGGGGGTGGGGAGCCTACCATGCAAGAGTTGAACACCTCAACCGCTGCTGTCCGTCAGAATATGCAACAGTGAACTAGATGAATCAGTGGTCTGATTCAGCAAAAGGTAATCCGTACATTAAAAGAGCACAACTTTAAACCTGCCAGAACAATGAGGACTTGTCTTCTGATTACATCTTATATTCTACTGTAAGATGTCACCATAAGACTATTATACAGAAAAAAGGAAACATTTGGTTCTTCTAATAAACTAAAAGAGGACTGGTTGCTTGCATAAAAAGGCCTGCACAGCCAGAGCTTGTTTCCTCATCCACTTTGAATTTGGGATGGCCCCCATCTTCTGTCTGAAGCATACAGCTGTTTTCTATTTTGCATCAGAAAGTGGCACATCCTTATAAGAACTGTATTACTTCTGTTAGAACAGCACTCTTTGAAGTAACTTGAGTTGAATTATCCATGTTGCAGGATTCAAGAAATGCCTCCAATTTCCAAGGGCATGTAATAATCAGAACTGTTATAAAGAGGTTAAAGGTCACATTTCATATCCAGCACCACTTCTAATTTGAAATAGTTGTATAAAATTAGAAGCATCGGGGCACAGAGGAGGGGGAAGGGGACTACAACCTGGAGCTCATTACAGTTCTGAAGAGAGATGAATTCATCAGGGAAAAGATGAATACACCCTACATAATTCATTTTTGGTCTTTTTTTGTACACTCCACTGATACCTAATTGATGAGGAGTTGGTAAAAAATATTTAGATAGATAGATAGATAGATAGATAGATAGATAGATACTTCAGAGCCACCTTTAGGGGTGTGTCACCTTTAGGGGATATTTAGTTGCATTGACCCTCAAATAAAATAGTTTGTGCTATGGTTGACCCCTACGCCCACCAAACTTAACTTATTCATATACACACTCCCTGCATATTCCAGTCGTCACCCAAGGCTGTACTCATTTATGTGAGCTCAGACTTAGTATCACATTCATGACTGAATGGGAGGATAAGTGGCTACCACATTGATGGGTTGGGTATGCTTTGACAAGACCATTTTGGCCACTCCACCAGTGATCTTCACTGGTGAGGTGTTCCACTGGTGTTATTGGGAGGAGTTCTTCCAGTATGTTAAATTCCACCAGTGTTGCAGGGCTTCTGCCAGTTTCTGGAGCCCCTTGGCTGACAAAACTCAAGCAGAGGATAATTGCAGCCTTAATATATTAGTCAGATTGATCAAGTGAAAGTCTTTTGAATGACTAAAAATATTGATTGATTGACTCTGATGAATTGGGTAGACCGGTTTCTGAAAAAAAGTATTGTCAATACAAGTATTTATAAAAACTGCAGATAGCAAATGCTGTCTTCTAAGACATTCCCTCCCTTTCCCCGTGCACAGAAGGCAATGCTTCTACTAAAATACACTTCTCCATCAACCTAAAAGATGCTTCTGCTTCAGATCTATTCCTTTTACCAATATGAAAATATGTGCACATTTCAGCAAACAACTGATTGACAAGAACCCATAAAATTAAGATATCTCTAACTGGGTATCAGTTAGCAACACCCACATATGATGTTAAACAGACTTAATCCATCCTGCTTCTCCAAACCCAGACCTGCAGTTCTTCATAAGCGCCAGCATTTGAACAGCTCCACTCTCCAGCATCAGGGACAGCCTAGGCCTGGCTCCTTAAACAAGTAGGCTGCCTGTCCAGCAATCCAGCACTTGAGACACGAACGAGTCTTTAGCAGAGCTTAGGGGACTCCCTTCCAGGTCAGGGAGTTTAGCTGTCACCAACAGCTCTTATTTATTAATGTTACTTTTATATCCCCACTTTTTCCTGACACTGTTCTCTCCCTCCTCATCCTCACAGCAACTCTGTGAGGTAGGCCGGTCGGGCAGGCTGCGACTGGCCCGAGATCAGGCAGTGAGCTTCTTGGCTGAGTGGGGATTTGAAGCTTGGTCTCCCAGGCCCTAGTCCAACATTTTAATCGGTGCACCACAGCAGCTTTCTTAGGCGGCAGATTATTAGCCATAAGCCCAAGGAAACCTGCACGTTCTGAGGCAAATACTTCTGAATGCCAGTAGCATGAGAAACCTTGCTCTGAACACCAGATACAAGGACAAACAAGGAGGGCGGGCTGGGCCTAGAAAGAGGCCTCCAGTTCACCATTGCTGGAAGGTGCGGGGGAAGGCTGTGGAACTCTATAGGGACACTCATCTACCCCCAGTAGGCCGCTTCTTGTGCCCTTGTGTTGGGGAAGGGAGTCCTGGAAGCAGCTGGGCCTGGACGGCCACCCGTTCCCAGCCCCTACTCTCCTTCCGTGGTTCACGCGAGCAAAGTTTGGCTCGCTCCTCCTCACGAACACGGTAGCACGTGAAAGACGACCGGGGAACCCCGGGAAAGGAAGCGAGCGGGCCACACAGCTCAGAGCCGGATCCCCGCTGGACGGGGTATCCCCAGGCGAAGGGGCGGGTTGTGGGCGTCCAGCCCCAGTGGCAATGCCCCAGGCCGCGAGGGCTCCTTGTTCTGCCTCGGCGGGGCCCCCCCTCCAATACCACAGCACAGCCCCCCGCCTGCAGCCAACAAGAGGCAGCCAGTCTTTTCATCCCTGTACGCACACCGCAACTGGGGCGCGGGGGGGCCTCGCAGGAGGATGGAGGGGGGGAGGCGGACGGAGGGGAGGACTTCAAAGCCCCGCTTGCCTCCTTCCTCCTCCATCCTCGGCGGCAGCCAGCCCCTTGTAGCGGCGCCCCGCGATGCTGGGCGGGAGGTGGCGAAGGTGTTTTTGGCACTCGCCGGGCGTCTCTTCAGACGGGACGGGAGGGGAAGTTGCGAGGGGGGGGGAGAGAGAAAGGAGGGCGGCCGGCAGAGCGACGTCTGTCGGCTGGGAAATGAAAGTCAAGCCTCGGAACGCCCCCCCACCCCTCCGCCCCCCGTTTCTGGTCCTCCTCGTGCGGTGGGGTGGGGGCGGAGAGGAGGGGGCGGGGACTGGCCGGCTGCTGCCGCCGCCCCACGCGGCGCCGGGGCTGGCGGCGCCCCCGGCGGGCTCCCCGTGCACTCCGTGCCCCTCTTGTCATGTTTGTGGTTTGGGACGAGGCGGCGAGTCCGTGCACCAAGAAAAGCCGCGCGCCCTCCAGCCCCGCCGCAGACCCCGGACAGCGCGGGCCCCGAGCACCGGCTCCCGCTCCCCACGCCGCTTTGCTCGCCGCTCTTTGGAGCCAGGGAGACGGGTCCAGAGCTGCCAGACCCTCGGCGAGGCGAGGCGAGGAGCAGGCACAGGCCGGAGCCCCCCAACCGAAAGCCCGCCAAGCGCCGCCCGCCAAGCGCCGCCAGGGGCAGAGCGCGCACCCCTCCGCTGCCTCTGCCGTCGCAGCAGCCCGAGGCCAGGCGAGCGAGCGCCGATCGGCCGTCCAGCAAAGCGGCGGGCTGCGCTCACCGGTTCCCTCTCCTCCTTCCCAACAGGTGGCTCCGCGTCGCCATGGGCAGAGGGGCCGTGCAGATGCTGCTGCTCTTGGGGCTGCTGCACTGGGGCCCCGGCGGGGAGGGCAGGAAAAGCTGGAGGCGGCGTGGGCAGCAGCAGCAGCAGCAACAACAACAACCAGCAGCGGCTCGGGAGCGGAGCGAGGCGGCTGGGCAGCCGGTGGAGAGCTTCCCATTGGACTTTACCGCTGTGGAGGGCAACATGGACAGTTTCATGGCTCAGATCAAGAGCCTGGCGCAGTCGCTGTACCCTTGCTCGGCGCAGAATCTGCACCAGGAGCTGAGGCTGCACATGCTGCTCAACAGCTCGGTCACCTGCAACGACGGCAGCCCCGCCGGGTGAGTGCACATTCCATGCCTGACCCTCCTGCGATCTCCTTGCTTCGTCCCTGGCCCTTCAGGCACCTCCCCTTAGCCCATCTTCGTGGCTCCTGTGCTTAGTAGGAAGCGAAGAAACTTCTCAGAAAATAGAGCCCTTCTCCATCCTCTCTGCTGCTTTGCTCTCTCTTTACTTGTGCACACAAACCCATGGCCACTTCCATCGGCGTGTGCTTTTGGGCTCTTCCGTTCCGTGCCCAACAGTTTTTCTTTTCTCAAGTTCATACCACTAAGAGATGAACTTACTCTTAAACCTGTGCCTGAGGGCAGACAGAGCAAAAGACCCCTGTAGAAGTGGGTAGTAGGAAGAGAAGACATTTCTGAACGCACCTTTTTTTTCTTATTCTCCCTCATCACTTTAGTTCCTTGTATTTACTAGATTTCCTTATACAGTAATCTCAAGTTAGTAGCTCTCCCTTATTCCAAGGAATATGCCCTAGTCCAGAAATCAGGGACTTTGCAAAGCAGAGTAGATAAAAAAAATTATCTCCCAGCAGTATAGTTCCTTGGAACTCTGTAGAATAGTCATTGAAGCTCTGCGGTGCCCCTGTTTCTTTTCTCAGTTCAGCTACCACAGCCCCTCTAGTAGGAGCTGCTTTCTGAAACAAGAACTCTGTGAGTTCTCAAACTAGCTCCACGCAGACGCTCTGTGTATGTGCTAAGCAAACATGGATAACATCACCCGCTTCTTTGTAAAGCACCATTTCTGCTGAGGGGATGCTTGACAGAGCACGCACACGACTGTTTACTATTAATACCATTTGCTGGTCCCTCTCTGCTCCTTAGTACTTCAAAAGTGCTGAAACAATCCTTCCTAGTGTTCAAGCTTTGCTTCCACCATGTGGCCTTTACTAAGAACGCAGCCAGTAACAGGTGGAATAACTCTTTCCTGCCTGGAAATACTTAGGAATGCTAGGAATTTGTTTAATGCATTTATTTTGGAGCAAGATGAAAGCCTGGCTCAGGGTCCCCGAGAAGGCCCTTTGATCAGACTTCGTTTGGAGCTCCTCTGACAGCCGTCCTGTTTCTTTCTCTTGTTCTTTAACCAAGTATTTTATGTAACCCTCTTGATATTATAATGAGTTGGTGTATCAAAGGGCTTGTGGCTGAGTGAGCCAGTCTCCCTAATTAAGTTCACGCTGCCTTCTGTTTGTTTTTATTTTAGCTACTACCTCAAAGAATCGAAAGGCAGTAGAAGGTGGCTGCTTTTCCTGGAAGGTGAGCTTGAGTTTTCTTTTAATTTATTTAAGCAAAGTTCAATCATTTTAGGCTCTTTTTGTAAAAAGTCGAGGGATGGCGGAAGAGCTTCCCAGCTGCTTTCTTCAAAGACTTACAGCGAGTGCTGGCTGCCTTCACTATAACCAATGTCTCCATCCTTTCCCCCTGTTTACGGTTTCATATGCCATGCCACCTGGAGGTTTGCTGGCAGCCTAACTACTCACCAAACTTTAATCAAAGCTACTTAGTCAATCTACTTCTTGCTGTTGTTTGCTTGCAATGTTACTTTTGGCGTTGTATTTCCTAGGTTTCAATGCATACATGCAGTAAGTCTCCAAACAGATTTTGGTCTACACATATATGCTGTTTTCTCTAATTTTCTTCTGCGTAATATGAAATAAATTAACTGGTACTTATATTCCGGTCCTGAACTCATCATCTGTTTGGAAATGTCCCATTTTATTCAATGGTACTGCGCTCCAAGAAACAGTGTTTTGGAAATTTTGCAAGTGGCCATATGAAACTGTGGCTAAGATTTATCATTATTAACATAATTTCTTCTTGCTACAGTTTGTTACTAAAATAAACAAACGTTTTGCATGCTTTTGACCATGCAAACATCTCAGCCACAGAATTCTCTGCAGTTTACAGAAGTAGTGTTCTTTGGGTACCGGTAATCGGTACTAAACACATGTGAGGTAGATGGATCCACATAGAGAAACAAGCATTTTTGGGTGCTTCTGCATAATAGTGCAAACCCAGGCCTGGTTGAAAGGTTGGACGTGCCTTTTCAGGCTCCTCAGAAGATTAAGTATAAGTTTGGCTAGATCTAAAACCGGAAGGCATCAGATTAATTGTCAGGAAAGTTAGATGTTTCTGAAAAGGCTTGTGGAAGTTAGCAAAATGTTCATAGGAGCACTTCAAGGCAGATCATGCTTTGGAAATGATGGCAACCTACCTTTTGAACAGCCTTATGCTGTAAGTGGCTTTTTATTTTACAGCACATACTGCTTTTAAATTACACTATATTCAGAGATAGCACTGTGCAATGCAATCCTGCGCATGCTTACTCATAAGTAAGGAACACTGTGTTCAGTTGGGTTTCTTGGAGGGAAGCAAGCATAGTATCACAGTCTTAAAGTCACAACAGGATCCCACTATCACATTATGCTGGATATTATGTAAGTTTTATTATGCTTTTTAAAAATCCCTCTGCATTATAAACCCTACTCTGTGGAACCAGGATGAGTAAAAAAATAAACCCCTTCAATTAATTTAATGACACTAATAGTTTCTTATGCAAATTACAGTCTAAAAAGATGTAATAAGTGAAACAGGAAGAAATGGACACTATCCGATTCTTGCTTTGTTTCTTTTTTGAATCAGGAGGCTGGTACTGCTTCAACAGAGAGAACTGCAACACCCGGTATGAAACAATGAGGAGACTTATGAGCTCCAAGGAGTGGCCCACTACCAGAACTGGTAAATTCTTTATTCTCACCAACCTGGGATTTACTCTATTAATTATATATTGCTTCTACTTTCTATGTTTTATTTTACTGGAGTGCCTTCCTGCTCCATTAAGTCAAAACCATGACAGCAGTGAAGCAGCATTCCATAATGCCATTTTAAATCAAACAGAGGAGACACTTCATGGTGCAGTTGCCACTGTGGAGAAAGTCCAGCCCTGTGCCCTAGCATTGCTGACTTATCTACACTTAAGGAAGGATCGTAGAACAGAGCTTTCTTTGCAGATCTGAGGGTGCACTTATCAGAGGGTATGCTGCCCAGACCTGATATAAGGGCAGTTAACATATTGTAATGAGATGTTGTTACAGTGTGAGTATTATTGAATTGAAGTGTTTTATCTGGACTGCTATGTCACATTTTGAAATAATTTTTTAGTAGGCTTTTACGGTGATGCTTTGATAAGTGTTCCTTTCATTGTCTTCCTATTCTTGGCTTGGATACCTCTGTGTGGGAAATGGCATTAAAAATTCAAATCATTGTAAAAATGGACTTAAACTGTTTCTAGAAATCAGGAATGCTAATTTATATTGCATCTGACAGCAGGGCGGCACATATTCAAACAATGTGAATGAGAACTGAAGATAATTTCTTTTTTCTTTTTAAGTCCTGCATCAGTTTTCTCCCCCTCTTTTAGTTTTGATTCTTTCTGTTTTTCTCTGTATTGTCCTTTTATAAATAGCTTATCATTATTTTTAATGGTGAAAAGCCACCTGATTGGAAGTGTATTGGACACCTGGGGGAAGAACACACATGGGAAAAGCGACCCATGAACACTTTCTGTGTCCGTACCTTCAGTAAAGTGGGGAGCGATGATAGTGACTCCCTCATCAGTTGCCTGTAGGGATTGCAATGAGTTGTAAATCTCATAAATAAGTCATAAATCTTCAAGATATGCAGAGAGACCTGTTAAGCAAATTCTACCAGAGGCTTGTTCAAGACTGCATTCATCTCTATGGCTCCAGGAAACACAAACATCCATTCAGGGAGGATGAAGTAGATGCCACATTGTGAGCAAACACACAGGAAGGCTAAAGCCGTCCGTTATTTTCCTTGCTTAGCACATTTACATCATCACAGGAATAAGTACTAGTTCAGAAAAACAGCTGGCAACCCTGGGGGCTGGGATTAGGTATTGGCATGGCTGTCAACTTTTCCATTTTCTTGCAAAGAATCCTATTCAGAATAAGGGAATTTCCCTTTTAAAAAAGGGAAACGTTTACAGCTATGAGTATTGGTTTTTGGCCAGCACTTACGGTTGGTGTTGGGACCTCACTGCCTAATTCAGTCTTCTACATCCTGTTATCTGCCAGATGTGTGGAACTCCAATTTCCCATCAGCCCCAACCAGCAAGACAAAGGGACAGGGATTATCCGATGCAACAATTCTCAACCTTGGGTCCCCAGATGTTTTTGGCCTACAACTCCCATGATCCCTAGCTCACAGGACCAGTGGTCAGGGATGATGGGAGTTGTAGGCCAAAAACATCTGGGGACCCAAGGTTGAGAAAGGCTGCATAGAATCATAGAATTGTAAGGGACTCTGAGGATCATCTGGTCCAACCTCCTGCAATTCAGGAATATGCAGCTGTCCCATACGGGGATCGAACCTGCAACCTTGGCACTATCAGCACCACGCTCTAACCAGCTGAGCTATCCAGGCTGATAAGCATTGTAGTTCAACAATTTCCAGAGGATCACAAGTTCCCGTTCCTGTTCTTAAAAAAATTCTGTATAATTCTGTTGTCTCTTTGGGTGGAGAGATTTGAAAAGAAGATAGGGATCCTAGATCTTTAATTCTTGTGTACTTCATACTCTAGTGAAATGTCCAACTCTATGATGCTACATGTATGCATCTGCTTATTTGCCTGGAGTAGGAATTGGCTTCTTAGTTGAAATTTTAGAGTTTCAGTTTGGCAAGTGTATAATTTGTATCATTTTCCCTCAGCCTCTCTTTCTTGATTCCCTTCCACTTCTCTATTCCTTTAATGGCACAAACATGGATACATTAGGGGATGATTTATTGGATACACTGTATTCTTTTAAATTCTGAGAAACTAGGAAATGATTTATCGTCTGCATTTTATTATTGCAAATGCTGAGACCCACATACATAAGACATGGGCCAGACTAAAGGCCTGTCCTTGGAGATACGTATACAAAGTCCTTGCCTCTTTAGGATCTTTTGCTATTCTGTTACAATCAAATGTTCTCCACACATTGCTGATTTGATATCTGACAGATGGTTTTCTTTTTTAATATACTTTTATTCACCAATCTACAGGAACTGGTATTCTGTCATCGCAACCAGAGGAAAATCCACACTGGTGGAATGCAAACATGGTGTAAGTAGGGGAATGATTGTGTGAGTTGGGAGGAACACAATGGATGTGATGAAGTAAGCAATATACAGGGACTGGAATCAAAGTCCTTTGTGGCTGTAAAATGTCAAAATGGGTAGGATAGCATAATTGACAACTTCCGTTTGTTTATTTGAGGGTATTTGTACCCCACCTACTAACCAAAGTTTTCAAGGCGGCTTACAATATATTTCAAACACAGTAAAAGAGATGGTGATACAAATAGTCACTACAGCAAAGCAAAAATCCTGCCATCCCTTTGTTGTCTGATGTTCCAGCAAATGCCATCCTATATAGTCAAATCTCCTGGCTGTTGAAGCAGCTAGAGTTCTATATAGTCCAGGAAGTCTTCACTGGGTGGCTGGTGCTGATGTCTCTCACAGCCCCAGCCCTAGTGATAGACACAGGAGGTACTGGGTGGAGCATAGATGTTACCATGCCTTCATTTGCATTATATTCGGGAAGAGAAACTAGATGGAGAAAACAAGAATACCCCCAAAAGCTTCTCCATCGATGTAGGAACATGGCAGGCGGGTAAGGGTTTGGGACTACTTAAAAGTATGACATGGTTGCCGTAGCAAACACTGATAATATACAAGGGGCTGGCACATGTCTCCATGCATGCTGCGGACATGCACCAAGCTGCAGGCAGTGACATATATCTGCATTTGGGCATGTGTGTTTCCTTTTCAGGCTTTATGCCTTTATCATGTCAGGGGTACACAGGGATATGTGCCTGTTTTGCAAAGTGTAAAACACACTGTTAATGTCCGTTAAACAAACACAGTGCTCCTTGAGTGAGTTCTTTCTGGGAGTATCCAGCTGGTACCATGAGATTTGAATGGGCATGAAATTGCTCTCTTTCCGACTCCCTTTGGGTTTAATTTGCTTGACCCCTGCTTCACCCCTCCTTGCATGTCAGAGGAATAATGGTGCTCACATATCTCTTGTCTCTTGCAGTTTCATCCCCTATTGCTCAAGCGATGTCTGGAGCGGAGCCTCTGCCAGGATTGAGAAAAGTGAGTGCTTCTGATAGGCTCCTGCTGCCAGACAGACATTATGCATTAAAGGGGATATGGCCCAACTTCTCTACAGTTATGCAAATGAAGAAATGGTTCTTGCCAATGGGCAGGAAGGAATAATAAATATTCTCCGGATAAAACATCCGCTTGCTAACTCTGCTTTGTCACGGTTCAGAGCCCCATCACGCAGCAGTAGCCTGAAGGGAATAGCTGCATCCTGAATGTCTGAGGCCCAGCCAGTCCGTTTAGCTAAATGTCCCCCACTCCCCGCAGCAGCCAGGATTTGGTAGGGAAGAACTAAACAATGCCAGGATTCACAGACTGAATCATGAATGCTCCCAAGGATGAGTTTGAGGGACTTGATCACCTAAACCTATCACCAAAAAATGACACAGAGAGGCCAGAAGAAAACTTTATTTTGATGGATGTTGGCCTAAATGCAGTTCAAAAGTTTGGGGCTACCAGCATCGTTGGCTCAGTAGGTCAAGTTTGGGGGAGCTTTGACTCTTCAGATGTTACTAATCTGCAACTCCCATCAGCTCCTGCAAGCATAGTCAGTGGCCATGGATAATGGGAGCAGCAGTTAAGCAACATCTGGAAGGGCAATGGTTTCCTCACAGCTGCAGCAGTTCAAATCTGAATCCTATTATAGTCCTTTCCTCTCATTAATTCACTGGTCTCTTCAGGATGACTCTTTTCCTCTTGGTGGCAACTGCTGATACCTTGGCTTGTCGGGTGCCTCTGGTAAAAAGATAGGACTCCCTCATGAACTTTGAATACCCTTGCAGGAGAGGGAGCTTCAGAAGCTGGCATGACAAGGTCCACCTGCTGGAATTCCCTCTTCTACAAGGTTGTTTAGAGCAGTGTTTCCCAACCTTTTCCCGACCGTGGCCCATTTCCAATCCTGTTTCCTTCCTGCGTGTAGCCAAGAGGGGGGACAGGGGGCAGCTGCCCCCCCCCAAATAAGTAAAAGCTTAAACCCTGGCTACGCCCATGCCCCCCTCCATCCTACCAGTAGAAAGGTAGCTATTTAAATGTTTTGTTTGTAAATGGAATATGCATTATTTATAATTTATACAAAATACAATTACCGGTACATAAAATGATAGGAACATAATGAAATATTGTTGAAGCAGAAAAACATAGTGTCATAGAGCTGGAAGGGACCCCATCTTTCTAGTGCAACCCCTGCAACGTAGGAAACTCAGCTGAAGCATCCATGACAGATGGCCACCCAACCTCTGCTTAGAACCTCCAAGGAAGGACAGTCCAGAACCTCCCGAGGGAGATCCATCTTCCATGTATTATAAAAAGTAAACAAGATTTATTTGACCCCAGTCATCTGACACAGAGGGGGAAACCTAAAGATACAGTCCAAAAGGTGCACGGGGAGTTCTATATATATATGGGAGAATTTTAAAAAGCAAGCGGTCCTCACTGATCTGCTGCAAAAAGATCTTGTCACCTGGAGGAGCTCTGGCTGCCTAGATAAAACACTATAGTCCCACACACCCTTACCTGGGTGTAAGGCCCACTGACCTCAGTGCGGTTTTCTTCTGAGTAGACACTAGATGCTAATCAGCAGCACAGATGCAGGTGGCACTGTGGGTTAAACCACAGAGCCTAGGACTTGCCAATCAGAAGGTCGGTGGTTCGAATCCCCATGACAGGGTGAACTCCCGTTGTTCGGTCCCAGCTCCTGCCAACCTAGCAGTTCGAAAGCACGCCAAAGTGCAAGTAGATAAATAGGTACCGCTCCGGCAGGAAGGTAAACGGCGTTTCTGCGTGCTGCTCTGGTTCACCAGAAGTGGCTTAGTTGTGCTGGCCACATGACCCGGAAGCTGTACGCCAGCTCCCTCGGCCAATAAAGCGAGATGAGCGCCGCAACCCCAGAGTCAGCCACGACTGGACCTAATAGTCAGGGGTCCCTTTACCTTTACCTTTAGTCAGCAGCACCAGATGATCCCGCTTGGCTAGGCTCTGGGATGGATTTCACCCCATGCCTTGCAGAGCCAGGCTAACACTGCTGATGGGCCCTGCACCCCTAGGCAACATCCAAAGGCCCCGATCCGACTAGACGCTGGGGTGGATTGCATCCTGCACCTCGCAGAGTCTGGCCCAGCACTGGCAACAGCAACAAGCAGCTCTGGCAATGCCCAGACTTACCAATTTCTACCCCACCACCGTACTTACCTGACCTGCTTGTGATTGGCCAAGCGGATAGCTAGCCAATCAGGATTAATAAAAAATAAAAAATTCTTTATTTCTCCCTTCCTACTGTGGCCCCCTAGCCTTGTGCTGTGCCCCTCCTTTACACATTTTTCACCTGTGGCCCCTGTAGAATATCCTGGAGGGGGCCATATGGCCCAGCGGTTGGGAAACACTGGTTTAGAGGCGCAGGGGTGCTGTCTCTTTTACCCTACTAATAATGTATCACAACATAATGGTCCTGCATGAGAATACTTAACATTTCACAATCCTGCCTCTTATAACAGTACAAGATTAACATCTGGTTCAATGAAGCATTTCTGACATAAAAAAGGACAGAGAAGAGAAGAAAAAAAACAATATCCTTTATTCCAACAGACTATTTCAGTCAGTCAGCATTTTTGAAGTGGGTTGAGCAGATCTACTGCCTTGACTTCAGAGACATCGATAGAGGAAGTTATTTGAGCCACCAGTTTTGAGAGGGTGAGCAGATTCAACTGCCTTATCTGTATTTCCTTAAGAAAGAGTTTCTTGAAATACTTCAGGAACAAAGGATATTGTTTTTCCCCCCCTTACACTGCTGATCTTGGTGTTTCCCAAGTAGCATTGGTCCTCAGGTGAGCACCATGGTAGCTATAAACCTGAGCTGCAGGCGCATCTAGTGCTCCCACTGGCCTTGTGTAACTTCAGAGAGCCAGGATTGGTTGCCACCGTTTTAGGCTGTGTGTGTATCTTTTCTCTTTGCCTTAAATACAACAAAGGGATTTCTGATACATTAAAAGCTTGACAGTTCCCCTATGGCATAAGCTTTCACCACATAGGTAAATCAAAAACCAATAATAATGGATCTTCACGTGTTATGCTGTGGAAGGTTGTTGAGCTGCTGTTCTGTCTTTTGCCTAGAGGTGGTAGCATTTCAGAGATGGGAGATAGAACCTTCTGCAAAATTACGTCCTAGTGATTTTAGGGCTGAGACATCAGGTAACGAAAGATACTGAGTCCTGCTAGCAGAAACCCACACAAGAGCCTCTGCTTGTGAAGTGGGACTTTCCTCTCTCCCACGAAATTGCCTTGGCGGAGACGTATTGGAAGTACCTGCCAGGACAGTGTGCAGGAGAAAGAGAGGGGAAACTGACAAGCTGAAATGTCTGGGAAGCTGAAATGCTCATGCTGATGGAACAATTGCTGTGGCACTTTGTTAATTCCTCTCAGTACACCTGAGGTACATGGCTAGACCCACAAGCACCAGCCAGGTTCACACAGAATTTTGTTTGCAACAGAACTATTTTTAAAAACAAAATTTAATTACATTTAAATTCTGCCTCCCCTTCAAGGAGTTCAAGGCAGCACCCACGGTTCTTCCCCACTCCATTTCATCCTTGCAACAAGGTTAGGCTGAGAGATACTGCGTGGCCCAAGGCTACCCAGAGAGCTTCATGTCTGAGTGGTGAACTGCTCTCCCAGGTCCTAGTCTGAGACTATAAAGATGTTGTCTGTTCTTCCAATTCATATAAGCCACAAGCCTTCAGTGGAGAGGAAGGGGAAAACGTTTTAACTAAACTGCAGCTTAAGCAATTTTGTTTACTGTGAACTTTTTTTCTTTTCCTCCTCCCCACAGATGAATTTGTCTTCATGGGTGCCCTTATCATTCAGGAGGTTGTAAAAGAGTTGGTGGGAAAAGGTCTTGGGAATGCCAAAGTCCTCCTACTAGCAGGAAGCAGGTGCGTGTATACAAGGACTGTCTAGAAAGTCTCTCTCTCTCTCTCTCTCTCTCTCTCTCTCTGTGTGTGTGTGTGTGTATGGGGGAAGATTGCCGATTGACTTGTTGGTGATGGGCATGACTTTTATACCACAGGCCCCCTTGCCCTCTTGATGGAAAAAAGTGCTGAAGTTAACAAAGGCTACTTTTATCTTGATATCTGCATATTTGTGATTGTCCTACATTGTGGTGTTAGAAGATGCATTTCAATATGCTTCTTGAACAGTAGCAGCACTTTTGGGTGAGGAAGAAGGGGGACTTCTGTGTGAGATTCCAGTAATGTCTACAACCGATGCCGTAATACTGGGGAGAGTATCTGCACTGGTTATTACATTTGGGTAGTGGAATATTTTGATGTCAAGGTGCTTGGGTTTATTCTCCTCAAATTAACCTTCCAGCAGGTGATACAGCTCACTAGCTTAAAGTGGTAGATCTCTGGGTTGAATGGCAGTAGATCAGCAAGGATTTTAGACTTTCAATTGTTTAACAGTAGCAAACACCAAATAAGCCCCCCCCACCTTCCCCCATGAAATTAGAATGCTGAAATAAAACTTGGGAGAACCAGCAAAGGATTTTTATATGGGGGGAACTGTGAGCTCAGATCAGTTATGATACTTAGGATAGAATCTTGTACTCAAAAGCAGTTCAGTGACAAAATGTCCAAGTGAGTATCTTTTGCACCTATCTCCTGTGATAGCAGGATTCTATTGAAATCCAAAGTAGATCCCACAAGCAGCCACTGTCTCTTCCAAGCAGCCATCTCATTAGGTTAGGTCAGGGGTAGGCAGCCTAAGGCCCGGGGGCCCAATCCGGCCCAGTCGCCTTCTCAATCTGACCTGTGGACGGTCTGGGAATCAGCATGTTTTTACATGAGTAGAATATGTCCTTTTATTTAAAATGCATCTCTGGGTTATTTGGGGGGCCTGCCTGGTGTTTTTACAAGAGTAGAATGTGTGCTTTTATTCAAAATGCGTCTCTGGGTTATTTGTGGGGCACAGGAATTTGTTCGTATTTTTTACCCCCAAAATATAGTCCACATGGTCTGAGGGACGGTGGACCGGCCCATGGCTGAAAAATGTTGCTGACCCCTGGGTTAGGTTTTCCAAGCACCCACCACTCCTTTAATTTCTAGAAAATGGAATTCTAGAGTTGGAAGGTGCATGGAGGTTGCAATTTTGCACCCTTTTACATGGGAGCAAGCTGCATGCATAGGATTGCACTGCTAAGATAATGCAACCCTCTAAGGCAGGATTGGCACCATCCCAGTTCTTTTATTCAGTAGCTTCCTATCTTGCCACATCCCTTAACAAATCAAAATGGCCATAGTGTTCTGTGCAGTTTTATTTGTCTGAAGCATCTTTGGAATATAGCCAATATATATAAGGTTAAAGGTTTAATTACAATCAAGCAGTAATTTTTGTTAAACAAAAAAATGCAAATGAGCACAATTTACAAAAGGCACACCAGAAGAGCACCCTATGAATTCAGATGTGGATGGCAGGTGCTTAGAGAGTCATGGCCCTTCTGTAAGCAATCCTGAATGTGTCTGTGGTTGTGTTACAGTCTCATTTGAAAGACTGATGCTGTCATTGCAGTGCTGGTGGAACGGGGGTGCTCCTGAATGTAGATCGAGTAGCTGAGCAGCTGGAAGAGATGGGGTATCCTGGGATTCAGGTCCGTGGCCTTGCAGACTCTGGATGGTTCTTGGACAATAAACAGTATCGTAGAACAGACTGCATTGATACTATAACCTGCGCCCCTACAGAAGCCATCAGGAGAGGAATTAGGTACTGAAGTATTCTAAAGTATCCTTTTCAAGACTGGGCAGAGACACCTAGTCTTCCTTTCTTTTTGTAATTATAAGAAATATCTGTTCCTTTAGCTGATGAAGTTCTATTTGGAAAAGAAATAATATTAATGAAATGTGGCTGAGTAGAAGGTGTCCCCTGTATAGTAATCTGGCACGAAAGTAAGACAAGTAGAATTTTCTTCTTGCTGAAATGTATGATTTGCTGCCCTCTGCTGTCTGTAATTTTTGTAACTTGCACATTTTTGGATCTCCGCTGCAGAATAAGCTTCTGTTATTAACTCTTGTTATCATGTCATCTTTCAGGTATTGGAACGGACTTGTTCCTGAACGCTGCAAAATGCAGTTTAAAGAGGGAGAGGAATGGAATTGTTTCTTTGGCTATAAAATTTATCCCACACTGCGATGTAAGTATGAAACAGAGAGTTTTCAGCTTTCTGTTTGCTGATCTGAAATGCGCTTCAGAAGATTCCTCATTATCAGTATAGCAAGTGTCAACGCATTGAAGACTTTAATGGATAGTCATGTGCCTTTTAACAGGAAGAATTTCTGACTCCCAGTTGCTTAGCAGTAGCAATATCTAAGTGAATTGTTGGATTTGAATAAATATTACCACTCAGAATAGATGTTCCTTGAGATTGCTGAAGGAATGCTGACAACTACAGTTTTATAAACAAAACCTACTATATTGTTAAGAAAAGGATTCCATTTCTATTGCAGTAACACACCAGAATCAAAATAACCTTGAAATAAAGTGTATTCTTAAATTTCTGCCTCACTGACTAAAATTGTGCATTTTAAGCTTTAGCTGATTAAACCAATGGAAGTTTGCATCCCTGATAATGGGGAAACCTTTCCTCAATTCTTCTTGCTGCAGGTCCTGTGTTTATAGTACAGTGGCTCTTCGATGAAGCCCAGCTCACCGTGGACAATGTACATTTGACTGGCCAGCCAGTGCAGGAGGGGCAGTGGCTATACATCCAGAACCTGGGTCGTGAACTTAGGAACACCCTTAAAGATGTGACGTTAGTCTTGCCTCTTCTCTTTTCCTAAATACTTTCCAATATGTTCTTCTAAAGATGTGGTCTGGAAACCACATTCTTTTTAAGATCACTGTGTGGTTTTTGTTTTGTTTTTAAATTGACAGTAAGGCTAAAGTAAAGGTAAAGGGACCCCTGACCATTAGGTCCAGTCGTGGCCGACTCTGGGGTTGCGGCACTCATCTCGCTTTATTGGCCGAGGGAGCCAGTGTACAGCTTCCGGGTCATGTGGCCAGCATGACTAAGCCGCTTCTGGTGAACCAGAGCAGTGCACGGAAACACTGTTTACCTTCCCGCCAGAGCGGTACCTATTTATCTACTTGCACTTTGACGTGCTTTGAACTGCTAGGTTGGCAGGAGCAGGGACTGAGCAACGGGAGCTCACCCCGTCACGGGAATTTGAACTGCCGACCTTCTGATTGGCAAGTCCTAGACTCTGTGGTTTAACTCACAGCGCCACCCACGTCCCACATAACTTCAAATATCCTAACAATAAGGCTACATATACACTATACATTTAAATCACCTTTCTCTGCCTCAAAGAATTCTGGGCACTGTAGTTTGTTAAGGGCTGCTGGGAATTGTAACTCTGTGAGGGGTAAGCTGCAGAATTCTTTGTGGGAAATAATGTTTTTTGAATGCACTTTAAAGGTATAGTGTGGACTTAGCCTAAGACACGTTGTCAGATAAATTCTCAACTTACTGTCTACATTCATTCTGTGTTAGGAATCTGGTTTGTTTGGTAAGCCACCAAAAATAATTGGCGGTCCAGTCACAGTTATCCCTACAAATAAAGCACAAGGATACCCAAAGCCATATTGTGAGGAATGACCAAAGACTGGGTTGCTGGGAAGGAAATGTATCAATATTTTGCATTGCTCCTATCACACCTATTCTATATCTTGTTCTTTTCTGCTTCAGTGCCAGCTTTGCTCCCGCTTGTTTGTCTCATGAGATCATCACACGCAAGTAAGTACCTAGGTTGGGGAGATGAACTCTCCCTCTTCCTTTGTACTTTCTCCTATTTGTGGGGGCTACGGTGCAGCCCTAGCCATGTCTACTGAGAAGTAAGTCCTATTGAATTCAGTGGGATGTACTCCCAGGGAAGTAGGGTTAGGATTATAGCCTTGGTACCGAAGAGAGCACCAGGGAAGACAGTTCCCCAGCCGCCCACTTGGGAAGGCTCACTAGAAAATGGCAAAAGGTCCTGATAAGCATAAGTAATTGCTCCTACGTCTTGAGGAACTTCTTTAACCCTCTAGGAGCCAATGTAAGTTGGCTCCTGTGTTATCTCGGATTTGATTCTGGAAAGAATGACGCAAAGACTTCAGCGGCATTGCAGATCGCCCACATTCTCACCTGTAATGGAATTGGGGGGTTGCTCGTGTGTAAGTTGCCGCCACTCTTGGCGAGGTTGCCTGAATAAACCTTTCCCTGGCTGGACAGTCCTGATTCCACGTCTGTCTCAGTCACTGGCAGAATCCGTCAGTGGGTGTTTCCTAAACTTCTTCCAACATAAAAGTTCCTTGACGGATAGTCTCCGCCTAGCCTCCCTGCGCAGAAATCTTCTGCGCAGGGTGGGTGTGGGCAGTGGAGGACCCGTGCTCTCCCTGCTGGTCTCAGGCGAAGAGTCCTGGAGCCATCTCTCCGAAGCCCGCCTCTGCCCGCCTTTCTCCCTGGTGTAACGCTGATTTCCTTCCCCGGCCGCTTGGGAGCCCTTCCTCCACTCCTGGCAGCGATGGCAGTTCCCTGACATCACCGATACTATTTCTGTGCTGCATCTGTCAAGAGCTTACTCTGTCCCCTTCCTTGCAGACACATCACGATGGCATAATGCCTGCATGTGACATAGGTCCATGTTCTTGGTGGCCAGTGGGAGGAAATCAATGTAGCGCTGTGGCAATTGTTCCATCAGCACAAGCATTTCAGCTTGCCAGATGGAACAATCCCCCCATCCCTCTCCCCATGTGTTGTTCGGGGGGCAGGGTGTTCTCCTGAACTTCCCCAATCCAATTGTGTGGGGCCTCCGGGAAAGGAGGAACTCTGTTGCATTAGTGGAAGTCTTTTTGCGAGCTTCCACTAGCAGAACTTGTCGACGGACTCCCATTTTGAGCATGTTCTTCTGATCACAGCCTTTCTATTTTGGAGCGTGCGAAAGGTTAAGCGCAAATGAACATGAACAATAACAGTGATGCAACTTGTGTGGTTTGTGTCTGCAGTCACTGGACAGACATCCAAGTGAAAGGGACCTCTTTACCCCGCGCCCTGCACTGCTGGGATCGCAGCCTCCACGACAGCAACAAGAATGGGAAAGCTCCGCTGAAAGGCTGCCCTGTCCATCTGATTGACAGCTGTCCCTGGCCACACTGCAACCCCTCATGCCCTACCATCCGGGACCAGTACACAGGACAAGAGATGAACGTGATCCAGTTTCTCATGCATATGGGGTTTGATGTGCAGAAGATGGCGCAGCAGCAGGGTCTGGAGCCCAGTAAACTGCTGGGGATGCTGAGTAGTGGTAGCTAGGAGAGTTTTCCACTAAGGAGGACTGCATGACTGCGTATTGAGCAGGAGCCTTTTAGCTCCCCTCTCAAACTTCCTGCCCTCCTTGCTCACTTTCATAACATAAGCATCTACACAGACACATACAGGCACAAGTCATGCACGCACACTCTGGCACAGTTAGTATTATCAGGATAAAATGAACACCAGTTGATCGAAATGTTACCTCTACTTCAGGGGACAGTCTCAGCTAAGCGTCACCTCTGTCTGCAATAATTCACTAACGGTCTGCAGGGAGCGCATAGAAAATCACGAACCCTCTCCAGAGTTAAAAGGACTGTATACTTTTTGCCTTTTCCAAGAACTTTTCACACCATGAGACTGACAACAAAAGGTGCTTTGGGGGAAAAAAAAAGAAAAGCACTGGATTATTTGTCCAATTAGAAATGATGAAGGTATAGCTGATTATATGACTTCCTGGAGGCCAGCATCTCACGATGTAACATAATAATGTACAAACCGAGCACACAGGCTAGAAAAGGACTTATCTTGTACTCAATTTACTTTTGTATTATTTTATAAAATGATTTTTATTAATTTTTAAAGAAATAAGCAAGAAATATAAGATTAATGATATTGTTTTGTAACATATTTTTTTAAATAATGAAGAAAAAAACACCTTGTGCTATTTTCGGGCAATGTGAAAATATTTATTTTAATATGTAAATGCTATTTATAAGGGCTGACCCAAGATATGCTCACATGTTGTTGTAAAGTTGTAAATACTTCTCCTTTGGAAAGGTTTTCCTTCTGATCACATATGTGTGAGAAAGGGCAAGGGTCAGCAGTGGCATTATTATTATTATTATTATTATTATTATTATTCAAATTGTTTATTAGATCCCCATGACTCTTTTGAAGTATGTTTCTTGCTGTTTGTGAAAGGGGGAAAGATTATCAACCACAGCCTCAGTAAAGAGCTTTTATCCTTCCTGCTCACCTACGTTCTCTCCATCTTTTGTTCAGAGAGGACTGTGTCCTTACCTGTGAATCAGATCCTGGAGATATCCCAGATAATTTCTGCCCTTAACAGTGGAGTAGCTGATTTTGAAGTATATGGATGTTACTGCTCAGAAATAGCCCATCACATTTCTTCTGTGCTGTTAAATTTTAGTTGCAGCATTATGTCATTAAAAGCTTCCATGCTTGTCAGGGTTGAGGGCTAATGCAAATTCCAGACTCCTTCCAACACCAGGCAAGGACTTGGCAGATATTCTGCAGTCAACTCTGGCTTGATTTCCAGGAACCAACTCACATCTGGTTGAGCCTTTTCTCTCTGGACTTTAAGGATATAAAATAATGGAAATGAAAGGAATAGAAAGGTGCCCAGACATATTTTTTCCCCAGTTGCCAGGCACCCTCATATTACCAAATGAGTACATTATTGTCACCTCCCTCTAATTTACTTCAGATGGTCGGAAACAGAATCACATCACCGTTGGCTACTACAGGTAAGCAATTTTGGTTTTGAGTCTCATAGGTCTTGCAAGTCCTTAATCTCCTGTACTCCTACCTTAGCTAGGAAGCCCTAGTAGGTTAAAAGATAGGAGAAGATCAAGCTGTTGCAACACACTTGACTATTTAGTATCATAAGGATTGTTTATTTAAGACCAAATGCAAGAACTTAATCCATAAAGTTTTTTTGTTTTAAAGGTTATGTATAAAATACGTGCCCTAGGCAGACAAATGGCAGAAAAAAGATGCAGGAGTTGTTGCTGTTCCAGCTGATCACAATGAAAGTAAATACTGGGTTGGGTTATCCCAGTCAGATAGTGGGGGGAGATGCAGCAGAAGAGGGAAGGGAAAAAGCAGCCTTCAATGCTGCACAATCAGCTGAGAGAGGCCACGAGTCTTGAAATGAACTGCCCCAGACTTAGCTCAGTGATAGAGCACAAGAGGTCCAAGGATTTCCAGATAGGACTAGGAGAGACCCTTGTCTAACAACCAGGGGTCAGCAACCTTTTTGCAGCCATGGGCCCGGTCTTACTGGTCCCTCAGGACCTTGTGGTGGGCCGGACTATAATTTTGGGGGGGAAATAGGATACGAATTCCTATGCCCCACAAATAACCAAGAAATGCATTTTAAATAAAAGCACACATTCTACTCACGTAACACACCAGGCAGGCCCCACAAATAAACCCAGAGATGCATGGTTAAATAAAAGGACACATTCTACTCAAGTAAAAACATGCTGATTCCTGGGACCATCCACAGGCCGGATTGAGAAGGCGATTAGGCCGCATCCGGCCCACAGGCCTTAGGTGCCTTAGGTTGTCTAACACCTAGACTACCATGGCCAGGCAACGTTGACCATGCTGGAGCTAGTGGAAGCAAGGGACTGACTCTGTAAGGCACCTCTCATCATGTTCCTAGGGCAAAAGTTGAGAATCAGTACTCCAGATTGTTTGAGTGGTAAGAAGGTCTGGCATCAAACAACAGAGGAAGGAAAGAAGCCATTTGATCCATCACAAAAATCTGACACAGAAGGATGCTGTTACTCTCTCTAGGACCTGATATCACAAGGCAGTGTGGGAAAGGGTAAAATAGGGGTGTTCCTAGGTGTGATGAGATGACAGAAATTGACTTGGGTGTCTTGTCTCAAGAAGGGAGAGAGCTAATTGCCTAAGGCAGGGATGGGTGACCTGCAGTTCCCCCAGATGTTATTGGACTCCAACTCCCATCAGCCACAGCCAGCAGGGCTGGTGGTCAGGGATGATTGGAGTTGTAGTCCAGTTACAGCTGCAAGTTCTTGGGTCCTTGCCTAAAAGCATCAATTAAAGTGTCACTGATGACACTGCCTCTTTTCTCTCTGATTACCCCCATTTCTTATTTCTCCCTTTTTTATTCTCTTTATGAGTTCAAATATCAGCATTCAAAATCACACAGGGAGGCAACATGAGCTCGATGTAAAAATTGGGGTTTGGATTTTGCTGCCCAACTCCCCATGGGACTCTTGAGTGCCTATAGTCCATGACTGGTCAGAGAAGAATGGGTGAAGGCAGGACCCAGGGGAAAGCAAGGCAGATACTTATTTTTCTGTTGCAAACAGATTTCCCTCCCCCTCCTTCCATAGAGGGAGATATCCTGAACAAAAGTGTGCAGGAACCTTTAAAGACTTTTGACAATGCCCAACCCCTTTAGCCAAAGACCACCCCAAAATTATCATACATCATAGGAGCCAGTCTACAGCAGAAATCCTGTCTGCTAGGATACCTGATAATGGTCACTGATTGCATTACCTGGGTAGCCTGGCCATTCTTTTGTGATGGTTAATACTTTAGTTCCTGAATCCGGCTCACAAGCTCATACACAAATACTCCCTTAAAACAGGATTTGTAAGCGAAAAGACAATGGGAAGTCTTTCCCCTATTTGCCTCCCTTACTGCAGAGGAATATTTGAGGTCATTGGGAGAGTCAAAATGGCTTCAGGATTGCTCTTCTGTACTATTTCAGACACATAGTTTATATATTTAGATATGTGTGTATTTGTGAATATTATATATTGGAGACCTTAGAATTCTTATAGCAAGCTAAAAAGGCCCCCTGGTGCAGATGTCCACCTCTCATTACACGTTGAGGTCTGTACATGCAGCCAGCGACAGACGAGACAGAAGATGGTACTAAGGTGCTTCCCTCTTATGTAATGGTCTTGCAATATCTGGCAGCTGGGACAGGTGGCCTCACTCGAATGGCACTGATGGTCTGGCTTACTGTGAAAATTAGAATATTAAGGAGATGGGTGCACGAATGACAGCCTTCCAACAAACACTTGTGAGCTAAATATTTGGAGGGCTCCTGCAATTAATGGGTTGTTTGGTGTTCAAGCTTGGCCTAAACTTGAATGAATGAAATCCTTCCTCCTTTTTCCTCTAGCTCGTTATTCAACAAGTTACCTGTAACCAGAACAAGTAAAGTTAGGGCAAACCTGGGACACTGACATGTTGAATTTAAAAAAGAAATGAAGGGCTTGTAACACAAAGCAAAAGTAATCAGAAGTAGAAAGTGTTTGTATTATCTTGGTCCTCTCTAATCTGTGTCTAAAATGTTGGACAAAATCTGGTGTGGGCTGTACATTGCTAACAGCGTTCCTGTTATGTATTCAATTTATTTTAATTTTTTTAAGGTACACAAAAAAGAATTTGATATCATATTTTCCCTATATCAAAAGACATGAGTTTGAAAGAACATCAATTTCAGTCTTTGCTTCAGTGTTTTGGAGTGGAAGACCATAACACTACAGAACAATCCAACCATAATCCAGCAATGGATTTGTATATAAGCAGCTGTCGTTAGCCCTCTAAGGATAGGTAGCTGAGGGTTAAACAATAACCAGGAAATCCGGCCTGCAAGCAAACTGCTTTCTATGAGATTGTCAGGTCACCGTGCAGTCTATGATCCCTAGCCATGCTTGACTGAGAATGCTGCTCCAAACTATGAGAGGAGAAAAGAGAGTGCCCTGCCAGGTTGCTCTGCAAAATTACCTCCTGACCTCACAGCTCAGAGTATCATTTCAGGCCTCCACCTACTTGCCCAGAGCAGAAGTAAGCTGGCATTGTCATCAGCCCACATCTACTCCAAGCCGAGTGCTGGTGTGCGCCATTAAGTGTGAGCAGCAGCTTCAGTGACCAGTTTCTATGGAGGTGCCTCTGAAGCTACAGCTACCACTTGCCTGTAGGGGCAGGAGATAAGCTAACTTCCAGCTTCCCCACCCCCAAATCTGCAGACATCTTGGGGTTCATAGCTCAGTGGTAGAGCACACGCTTTGCATGCAGAAATTCCTGCTTCAATCCCTGGCATTTCAACTTTTTACAACAAAGATTAGAAAAGATGGTAATCCACTGCCTCATGCCCTGGAAAACCCACTGCCAGTCAACAGCTGATAAGAGCAAGCCAATAATAATGATAATAATGATGATGATAATAATGATGATGATAATAATAATAAAGTTTTATTTATATCCTGCCCTCCCCAGCCAAAGCCGGGCTCAGAGCGGCTAACAACAGTAAAAATAACACAGTTTACATAAAATCATAATCATTTAATTGAAATACATACTAAAATCAATTCATTCTAAAATCAAATTAATGGCAACCATTGGGCTAGAGTTCTATGAGGATTACAAAAGGAGAGGGTCAGACTGTGCCTCAGCCCAAGGGCTTGGTGGAACAGCTCTGTCTTGCAGGCCCTGCGGAAAGACGTCATGTCCCGCAGGGCCCTAGTCTCTTGTAACAGAGCGTTCCACCAGATCGGGGCCAGGGCTGAAAAAAGCCCTGGCTCTGGTCGAGGCCAGCCTAACCTCCCTGTGGCCCGGGATCTCCAAGATGTTTTTATTTGAAGACCGTAAGGTCCTCCATGGGACATAGCAGGAGAGGCGGTCCCGTAGGTACGAGTGTCCTAGGCTGTATAGGGCTTTAAATAACTTAAGAAGATCAGGGCAAAGGCCCATCTAGCTCCGGAGCCTGTTACCACAGTGGACAACCAGATGCCTGTGAGGAGCCTAAAAGCCTTAGTGCCAGAGCACTCTGCCCATTAGTGATTGCCAACAGTCAGAGGCATACCACCTCTGGGTATAGTATATAGCTATCATGGCTACAGGCCATTTCCTCCTTGAATTTGTCTAATCCTCTTTTAAAGCCATCCAAGTTGGTGGCCATCACTACATGTAGGGCAACAGAATTTGTGTAAGCCAGCTTCAGTACAAATGGCAACAACAAAAGTCACTAGCTCTCTTGAGTTCACTCTTGCGGTCAAATAGTCAGTTTTGGGGAATCCCTGAAAGGAGATGGAATGTCTCCCCGCAACCACCATCAACCATGCAGAAAAAGTTCAACATGACAAAACAAATGATATATTTGAGGTGGACTCCTTGCTTCCACATGCTTTCTTCTGGGACTCTAGTCCAGGCGTCAGCAAACTTTTTCAGCAGGGGTCATTCCACTGTCCCTCAGACCTTTGGGGGGGGGCTGGACTATATTTGGGGAAAAAAAATAATGAACGAATTCCTGCCCCACAAATAACCCAGAGATGCATTTTAAATAAAAGGGCACATTCTACTCATGTAAAAACACACTGATTCCCAGACCGCCCACGGGCCGGAGTGACAAGACAATTGGGCCGGATCTGGCCCCCGGGCCTTAGTTTGCCTACCCATGCTCTAGTCTTAGGCAATTCAAATTACTTTCACTTGGTTTTTAACACAGAGCTTAAAAAGTAGCATGCAAAGCAGCACTGGGCGAAACTAAAACCCTCTCGTTATTTTGCACAGACCACGCAGTTCATTCCATTCCAGATAGGTCTATTAATACACCTTCCTATTTATATGCTGGCTTCTTGCAGCAACATAGTAGAGAGCTACAGCTGCATAACCGAGATGGAATAGGCGTCCTGCTAGCCACTTGGGAGAAACTGATCAGCTGAGGTGGAGTGAGAGTGACAGGGATGCCTACAGACTACTCAACACACAGACCCCGGAAGAGCAGGGCTGATGGATCATAACTGCAGCATACCAGAAGGGCAGGTCAATATTCTTACTGCAGAGGCAACGCTATCTCAAAAAGCTGCCAGAAATGTACGCTCTGCGGCATAAATAGCAGCCAGCAAAGGTTTTTGGCGGAGGGATATGGGGCTTATTCACCCTGCAGCTTCCGCTTAGTCATCCAGCGTTGGGTAGAAACTCAAGGACAAGCAGCCGACATCTGACCACAAAAGAAACATTCTGGGGGGTCCTGATCTGAAGATGGAGAGCTCAAGAGGGACACACCTCAACATGGCTGCTGTGGCATCTCGTGTTGGAGCTGCCCGGTTGCTGCAGGCAGCCTTTGGATGTACCACGTTCAGCCTTGTGGCCCACCGAGGAGGGTTCAGTGCAGCCTATGGCACTTTCTGCATGTCCGTCTGGTGCTTCTGTTTCGCAGTCACCGTCTTTATCGTCACCTGCGAGTTCACGCGCCTCCACAGCTGCCTGAGCATCTCTTGGGGGAATTTCACCGCCGCCTTCGCCATGCTTGCCACCCTCATGTCCATCACAGCTGCTGTGATCTATCCGCTTTACGTCGAGTTTGGCTGCCATTCCAACGGGTGCGAGGCGAGAGATTTCCGCATCTCGGCCAGTGTTTTCGCAGGGCTTCTGTTTTTGCCTACGCCGCGGAAGTATTCCTCACGAGGGCCAAGCCGGGACAGGTGACCAGCTACATGGCCACCGTTTCTGGCCTCCTGAAAATTGTCCAGGCTTTCGTAGCTTGCATCATATTTGGGGCTCTGGTGAACGGCAGCCAATACGACCGGTACGTGGCAACCCAGTGGTGCGTGGCTGTCTACAGCTTCTGCTTTGTGGTGACAGTGGTGGTGGTGGCCCTCAGTGTCACGGGAAAGACAGCCATGCTGAAGTGCCCCTTTGAGCGCTTTGTGGTTGTTTACACTTTTGTGGCTGTCCTGATGTACTTGAGTGCCGCAGTGATCTGGCCAGTGTTCTGCTTTGACCGTAAGTACGGCTCCCCACACCGCCCTTACCAGTGCTCCAGAGGCAAGTGCCCCTGGGACAGCCAGGTGGTCATTGCAGTGTTCACGTGTGTGAACCTGGTGCTTTACATTGTGGACTTAGCCTACTCACAACGCATCCGCTTCGTCTCACACCCCTAGTAGCCACAAAAAAGCCATAAAAGACTCAGGCAGAGGGAGTTTTGGGACCCGCCTAGAAAGCTGATGTCCAGGTCACACCAAAAGAATTTGTCTTGATTGAAAGCGGCCTGTCCATGAAAGAAACATAGCAATGCATCTGCAGTGCTACCCTCATTCCAGCAGATGTGTACACTTGATGCATCAGTGACTCTACAGGTTAATAGGTTTTGTAAGGCCTAGTACTAAGGGTGGGGAAAACAGGTTTTGGACCCTGAATTGTTCATCCTAAAATTGTTGGGTAAGTTAAAACTGCAAGAAGAATAGAAAAATATCTAGGCCCAAAAGAGCAACTGCCAAAATCCCAGCTCAATCAATGAAATTCTGTTAAAGTGAGAAACGTATAACTAAACGTAATAGATTCTGTCAGAAATTTCAGACAAGGCAGGGGAAAGAGAGGGGAGATTACAACCACCAAGAAGACTGAGACCGTTGTCCACAGCCCAGAGTATGAAAATAACAATTTCCTTATGCATGTACTTGGTTGTTGGTGAGATGCACATTCCTGTTTGGAAGAGTTTGAGAAGTGAAGTGAATACTGTCAAGTTTGTAATTGACAATGGGTGTAGGGAAGGTTGCTGCAAGCTCTAAAATAATTACTTCCAGATTGTTTCCCTCAGTTATTCCTTCAAGAAGCATCTGGGGATATTGCTATGCCTGCGGAAACTGTGGCTACACACAAGACATTAGCGTTTTGAAACAAAGCCAGACTTTTGAACCAAAACCACACTTTGAACCAAAGTATATTAATTTAGACAAAATAAAACTGTGTTGTTTTCGTTTTGCAAGAGTTAGGCAACAGACATTGTTTAATTCCGCAAACGCTTGGCACCGTGCAAACTGCAGATTACTTAATGATCTAGAACATGACCTGGATTTGCTGGTCTTTCACAATGCTGAAAGGACATTTAAATACATCCAACCAAGTGCCTATTGTCCGACTCCTGGAGGTGCTGATTCTTGATTCCCAGCTGAGAAAACACGTCTGTATAAATGCATCATGGTGCAAAGAAGTGTGCTGGTCTCCTTTGGTGTGGATCAGGATCATCACCTGAATTCAGAGACATTTTCAAATATAAGAAGCCAAAGCAAGTAGTTTATTCCAATTGCTTATATTAAATGTGTGTGAATTAGGTAGGAAGGCTTTATTCCAATCTAGAATAAAAATAGCAAGTTGGCAAAAGTATTCTGTGTTTTCCTTAATTGACAGAGCACCCTAGTCTTGCATTTATTCTCCTCCCTCAACCAACTCACTGTATATCCTCTCCTCCTCCTAAACATAAATGCACAGAAACACAGCCCAGGTTTCTTCCCGTCTGGAAATACACAGTGATTTATGGTGTTTGAATGCCATTGCCTTGTCTAAGCGTATGCTCACATTGGTATCTTAAAATGCAGTATGGTCACAAACACACCCACCCAGCCTGCTGCAGTTGAATCCACATTGGCGCAGTAATGTTCACATCGGAGAGGGGGCAAGGATGTCTTCACCTGATGCATGGCACTGCTCATGACTGTCTCCCATCAGCTCATCAAGCTGTCATCTGCACATGCGTGGTGGCTGTTAGGGTATGTTCACATTATCACTTAACTCTGCATCCAGTTCTCTAGTGAGATTGAAGCTGATTCGAGAGGGGCGAGGAAGCATCAAACAACAGCATTTGTCCAGAGACTGCAGGACTGGTATGAATTGTGGCTAACATAATGTGCCTGCTGCTTCAAAAACTAGCAGCTGGATGAGGAATAAGCACTAATGTCAACACACCCTAATATAGCTCAGATGCATATTAAAATGAAACAGAGCTAAAGTTACAGGGTGTGTGTGTGTCCTAAAGGTCTCATCTTTTCAGAGGGGATGCTGTATTAGTCTTTTGCAGCAAAACAACAGTTTTGTGGCACATTTATTATGGCATAACGTTTCATGGACTACAGTCCATCAGATGCATAAAGTGCTACCCTGAGTTGATTGCAAACAGTGAGGTAAGAAGGGAATGGAATGCAGAGAAGTACAGAGTGTGTGAATTATGTCATTAAGTGCACATTCACACACACAAAATATTTGAAAACACAGACATTCTGGCACTGGTAAGAAACCTAATACAGATAGTGTGATTTAAAAAAAAACCCACCAGGGTGCCACAATGAAAAGACACATACTCTGAGGCACCTTGTAGTCTCCTTCTGGCAACTCCTGCAGCCAAGTTGGTGCCAAACTTATTGCTCTGCATTCCTTTGAGAGCCAGTGTGGTGTAGAGTTAAGAGTGGTAGACTCGTAATCTGGGGAACCGGGTTTGTGTCTCTGCTCCTCCACATGCAGCTGCTGGGTGACCTTGGGCCAGTCACACTTCTCTGAAGTCTCTCAGCCCCACTCACCTCACAGAGTGTTTGTTGTGGGGGAGGAAGGGAAAAGAGAATGTTAGCCGCTTTTAGACTCCTTCGGGTAGTGATAAAGTGGGATATCAAATCCAAACTCTTCTTCTTCTTTGGCATCAGCGAGGCATCTTGTCGTCTGAGCAGCCCAGGACCTGCATACACACTGCCCAGGCTTGCACCCTGGAAAGGTCACTTCGTTGCTGCTAATGCAGTGGTTTGACTTCACGTTCGGAAGAGACACTCCATTGTCTCATGAGATGGACATATACCAACAACAACATTTTCAGTGTGACTTAAAGGATATTTTCCACCTAAGGCAGTGCAGCAGTGGCACTCCCCGACCTCCATTAACATGCATGGTACCTAGAGCCAGTCAAGTTATTCTGGTACCTGAGACAGAAAATCCCACAAAGGTCTCACTCCTTCCCTAGCAGTAAAAATACTCCAATAATAAATTAAACAACTTGCTGTTGTTTCATGGCACCCAGCAACAGCCTCTTTCTGCCTAACAATAGCACTAGCAGAGTGGCATATGAAACAAAATCTAGCTGGACAATAAGACTCAGCTATACAGCTGCAAAAGGGATGCAGGTAGCACTGTGGTCTAAACCACTGAGCCTAGGGCTTGCTGACCAGAAGGTCGGTGGTTTGAATCCCCACGACGGGGTGAGCTCCCGTTGCTCGGTCCCTGCTCCTGCCAACCTAGCAGTTCGAAAGCATGTCAAAGTGCAAGTAGATAAATAGGTACCACTCCGGCAGGAAGGTAAACGGCGTTTCCGTGCGCTGCTCTGGTTCGCCAGAAGCGGCTTAGTCATGCTGGCCACATGACCCAGAAGCTGTACGCCGGCTCCCTCGGCCAGTAAAGCGAGATGAGCGCCGCAACCCCAGAGTCATCCAGAACTGGACTTAATGGTCAGAGGTCCCTTTACCTTTATACAGCTGTAAATAATTTTTTTTAAGTGTGTTGTAAAGTCCATTATACAAATGTGACACTAGATGGTAATGGTGAGCTATGGCAAATTCAATAGTTTTTCAAAACATTTTTTAAAAAGCTTTTTCACAACTTTTTTATATATATCTAGATTCCACCTATGTCTCCAATTGATTCTGAATAACAACTTGAGCCTGTCTTTCCAGGAGCCCCCTTACACTGAGCAGACTTAAAGGGAGGTGGGAGCAGACAGCAGTTAACTGCTCTGGCTCCTGTGCAAAGCAGAACGATTGGCGGCTGAAGTATGCAAGCTGTAGCAGTAAGCCTTTTAAATATTACTAGCCACTAGTGACCTAGTTTTTTCAATTCTGTATTTCATAATTTAAATGATGAGCTTCTTTTGCCCACTGAGTGGCTGGATTGACTACTGTGAATTTACTAGGTTAAAAGGTGGCCATCCCAGCTGTAATGCGGGAAAGGGAGCACCCTCATAATACCAGAAGGAGTTCTAGAAATCTGCAAAATAGATTTCTGATTGCAATCCTGTTTTTTCTGAATGCAGAATAGGATTGTTTCTTCTTAATGCTGACATTTACAGCTTTGATTGGTGGGGGGACGGGACCCAATTTTCTAGTTCTGCTTACTCTGAAGTAAGAGAGAGAGAGAGAGAGAGAGAGAGAGAGAGAGAGAGAGAGAGAGAGAGAGAGAAGTTTGAGGCTAACACCAGGCAAAATACGAGACCCAAGTCAGGATCTGAATGCATGATAAAATGATTCTGGAGGTCAGGAACATTTAATTGCAGAGCATCCCGTCCTTCCATTAATTTCCATCTCCCCAAATTGAATGTGTCAAGCTTCCTTCCTTCCACAATTATAAACTTTGCCAAAAAAATAATATCTCTGCGTGTGCCTTCTATAGCTGGCAAATGGCTACTTTGCCAGAAGCTAAATTCACCCCTGCTTCCAGTTACTCTCCTCTTGCCACAAAACCTTGTGCTTCCTCTCCCACACTTCTTCTTTCCCCTATCAGCTACAGTTGACAAACACCAAAATAATTTATTAATAAACAGAATAAACCAATAGAGCATAAAGTAACACTACTTCAGCAGTTTGAAAGCAGCATAAGGTGGAATATTAATATTGAACTTGTGGTTCCACAACATTACAAAAAAATACCCAAGTGGAAGTCAAAACCATCCATAGAACATGACGGCAAGGATGTTGAATGTCACCTAGCCCGAGCCCCTGCTCAGCACAGGATAGCCTCAAGTGAATAATTCCTCATTCTTCCTGGACTTTTTTTTTTATTATTTTTTTAATGATATTTTTATTGCGTTTCTTTTCATAGTTTTGTACATTCCAAACAGTACTGAAGAGACCAAATACAAGAAACATTTTTTTGATTTTTTTTAACAAAAGAAAAAGAAAAAACCTTAATAAAGTTAATAGATATATAAAAGTTCCACTTTCCGTAAATCCCCATTGGACTTCCCCACCCCTTCCAGATCTGCGTTCTTTGTAATAACAATATCAGCAATTTGTTACCTAATTTCAAACCTTGTTACAACTTTCAATTATTATGTCTCCGTGTTCAATATATTGTATCTCAATTTTGATACCTTTAAAATAAACATAATATGTTTGGTTCACTTTGTCTTCTTTTCTCATTTGTCACTTATTTTACCATTTGCTTAATCATATTTGCTAAAGCATAACATTTCCAATAACATGCACTATCTTAAGATTCATACAGCTTGTAGTATTTTTGCAAATAGTCTTTAAATTTTTCCCAATCCCCCTCGACTGATTCTTCATCCAAATCTCGGATTCTGCCGGTCATTTCAGCTAGTTCCATGTAGTCCATCAACTGCGTCTGCCATTCCTCCAACGTGGGTAAATCTTGTGTCTTCCACTTCTTTGCAATGAGTATTCTTGCTGCTGTACTAGCATACATAAACAAAGTTCTGTCTTTCTTTGACACTTTCTGGTCTACCATGCCCAACAGGAAGGCCTCTGGTTTCTTAGGGAAGGTATACCTAAATACCTTTTTCAATTCATTATAAATCATTTCCCAGAAGGCCTTCACTTTTGGGCAGGTCCACCAGAGATGAAAGAATGTCCCTTCTGCCTCCTTACATTTCCAACATTTATTATCGGACAGGTGATATATCTTAGCTAACTTGACTGGGGTCATGTACCACCGGTATATCATTTTCATAATATTTTCTTTCAGGGCACTACATGCCGTGAATTTTATTCCGGTGTTCCATAACCTTTCCCAGTCTTCAAACATAATGTTATGTCCAACATCCTGTGCCCATTTTATCATGGCAGATTTAACTGTCTCATCCTGTGTATTCCACTTAAGCAGCAAGTTATACATTCTCGATAGTATCTTAGTTTTTGGTTCTAGCAGTTCTGTCTCCAATTTCGATTTTTCCACTTGGAAACCAACTTTTTTATCCATTTTAAAAACCTCTTGAATTTGAGCATAATGTAACCAGTCTCGCACCTTATTTTTTAGTTTGTCCTGACTCTGCAACTTCCAATTGTCTCCAGTTTTTTCAATTATTTCCCAATATTTCAGCCATTGGGCCTCCATATTGGGCCTTTTTCGAGCCTTGGCCTCCATCGGTGATAGCCACCTCGGGGTTTTACTCTCTAATAAGTCTTTGTATTTCATCCAGACTGCAAAAATTGCTTTTCTGACAATATGGTTTTTGAACAATTTATGAACTTTAACCTTGTCGTACCATAGGTATGCATGCCAACCAAAAGCATTATCAAAAACCTTCCAGATCTAGGACATCAGTGTTTTCTAACAAGAACCAATCTTTCAACCAGCAGAAGGCTGCAGATTCATAATATAGCCTCAAGTCCGGC